CATCCCGAGAAAGTTTTATCTACCTTCCTTTATTCTTCCCCACCAAAAATCCATCAAAAAACTACATTTCAGATGAATGGTTCTAAATGAGTAAGAAATACACAATTAAAATGACTGCTCCAAGTCTTTCTAGTCTTGCAATGTTTTCTCAATGATCTTTAATAGGTGAGACCTTTACATAAGTTTTAGAATAATCTTGCTGGTCAGTATTTCAAAGACACTGTCAAGATACCTGAATTTCCCATTATACTTACCTAGCATATCCAGACGACAAGGATTTCAAAGAATCATAAAAATCCACCACGATTTCATTCAAAGGGAAGAGATACTTAAGCATAACTCTATTTTGATCAATAAATACCATATTCTTCTGAAGTGCTCTTCGAGACTTAAAGGAATAGAAAAATATATTTAACTATAATCTACACAAAAATAATTATGAAAGATAATTTTTTAAGGCCCTCCTGTTGTTCATCAGTTTGCTTGAGCGGGCCCAGTAACGTCTCCATTGGAGATTTTGTTGTTACTGTTATAAATTCTAAAAAAGATTACAGTGAAAGATTGTTTCTTTAAAATCTGTAGTAAAAATCCTCAATATTTTTAGAGAAGGGAAACTATATTTCACTAACAATGTGCTCACTCTAAAGCATTTTAAATTATACAGCATTTCATCCAACAATAAATCAACTGTAACTTCCAAGTAAATCTTATAATTTATTTTTTACACATAATTGTAGAACCAAATAACCCAAACGACCAACTTAATAGTTTCTGTTAACAATTAAAAATCAAGTCCAAAAGTCCTTATTTGAAGTTCTTTTCTAATATCCAAGTAGTTCAAACATTTTTTCAATTACTTTTGAAAACTATAATCACATTCAATTTGTGCATTATAACATACCACAACCTAAAACAAAATGGATCATAATCAAAAGTCTCCCAGGTTGGACTGGAGCAATAGTATAGTAGGTAGGGCCTGTATCTTTCACAAGACCAACCTGGGTTCAATTCCCGGAATCCCCTATGGTTTGACAACCCCTACTGTTCCATATAAAGCTGTTCCCTGAAGAAGTGAACCCTGAGTGCAGAGCTAAGAGGAAGCCCTGAGCCGCACTGCCCTAAAAAAGTCTCCCAGGTTGAAATACCAAATTCAGTAAATTAAGACAGATGATCAAAAGTTCCGGATCCACTGTTATTTAGAATCAAAATACCTTTTTCTCATCATAAGAAATACTAAGCTCTAGGCCGGAGCAATAGTACAGTGGGTTCAACCTTGATATAGGGACTTTTACAAAAGTTTCTTATTAAATTAAATGTGTTTTGCAGGAGTGATCTTTAGAAACCTGTATTAAACTGAATTACATGTATACCTGGCAAAGTGTCATTATTTTTCCAGTATATTCATCTGGTGTGATAATGGTTCCTAAAACAACAGGCTCCAAATATTCCATTACTTTCGATTTATCAGGGAACTGAGCAGGATTGATGATTGTAATTTCTTTTTCCCTATATTCCTAAGAAGAAAAATCACCAAAAGTTAAAAAATGTTTTAAAATCTGTTAAATGTTATTAAATTTATTGACATTAATAAAAACAAAAGAATGCCTAGAGGTTAGAATATTATCCTAAGATACTTTAGATTAAAAACACTCCAGTTATTATATTGTGATTACAGTTATTAAAACTGGAAACTTATTATATATTTCAGTCTTTCTTAACAGGCATATTAATTTTGTAAATACATTTTTCAGAAAATTTTTCTGAAAAATTTTAAAGATGGTTGCAGACATATAATAATAAATGGGTAAAGTACTTGCCTTACATGTGACTGACCTAGGTTTGATCCCTGGCCCCCCCAAACACACCCCCGTCCTGGAGTTCTGAAGAGAGCTAAGAGTAAGCGGCAACATATGGCACCCAAACAAAAAAAAATACATGAAATCTTTTTAAAAAATAATTTACAGATGGCAGTTAATATTAAAATTAGATTGTCAGAAGTAATAAAGCACTTTGTCTTAGTTTGTAATCTAAAATTCCCTATAGATACACAGGACTAAGTGCTTCACATTTTGTAAGATAAATTTATAAGATAAATTTACTTATGGCCAAAACTATATTCTTTCATCACTGGTCCAGAATCTTATCATTATTTTCTACTTTTTATCCTCAATCACAGAATGCTATTGTGAGCACGATTTTATCAGGTTAATTAAAATTACAGAGATTTGTTTTCAAAGTAGCTCCTCCTGATTAGTAATGAAATAAGATAGTTGTTTAGATCAAGAAAAATTTAAATTTAATGCTGACTCAGAAGCTGATACACTAGAATTTTCCACTGGCGTACTCCCCACACATCTGACTTATTTTAGTTTATTCTTTGCTAAGAACAATTTAAATTTTTCAGAGTAATATTTACTTTGCCATAATACCTTTATCAATTTTTCTGATGAAAGAACAGCTTTATATGGAACAGTAGGGGTTGTCAAAATAACAGAAGCATTATATTCTTGTTCTAGTCGCTGGTTGAAAACTTCCATATGCAAAAGTCCAAGAAATCCCAACCTGAAAGGGGAGAAACTCAAACTGAGGCATGTTTATGACTACTGGCCACTATTTTCTTTGTTAAATTTTAGTTTGTGTGGAAGAATGGAACAGTCATTCGGATAATTTTCCTTTATAGTTAAATGTAAGGGCTAGAGCGATAGCACAGCGGTAGGGATTTTGCCTTGCACGCGACCAATCCGACCAACCCAGGTTCAATTCCTCTGCCCCTCTTGGAGAGCCCGGCAAGCTACCCAGAGTGTCTCGCCAGCACAGCAAAGCCTGGCAAGCTACCTGTGATATATTCAATATGCCAAACACAGTAACATCAAGTTTCACAATGGAGAGGTTACTGGGCCCGCTTGAGCAAATCAATGAACAACGGGAGGACAGTGGAGAGTTAAATGTAACATAATTTCATGAGCTTTTCATTGGGATCCTATTAAATATCATTGTCACTAAAACTTAGTGATACATTAGATATAACAGATATATTATCCACAAAATATATCTACAGTGAAAAATAGGAAGACAAATAACTTGAGTCTACCTTACACTATTATGAAGTTATCTTAAGAAATCTCCAAGAGTTACTCTAAACTTTACTTTCTGATAAAAATTTAATTCTGCAACTCAATTTAATCTTACCTCCAGCCAGCCCCCAGGGCAAGGCTACTATCCCGATGAACTGTCACACTGGAATCATTTAAAGTCAGTTTTTCTACTGCACTCTTCAGGTTGTTATATTCAGACTGGTCTATGGGATACATTCCTGCGGATACAATGGTTTGTAATATCACATGTGAACAGATAACTAAAACACTAACTATGCAATGCTGCCAGGATCAAAATGTATCATTTAGTTTTTTTACTTTTCTATATTTCATTGAGGAATACTGCTCTCCTAAAAAAAAGAGCTATGAATATTAAGTTAGGATTGCTTCCAAGTATCTTGCATGTTTCATAGTCTTAATAAAATTACAATCAAATAACATCCAAGAGATGTTATACTATGCACAAACATAGAGAAAAACAAAAGAACTAGGGAATTAGGTCTATTAGGATAATGTACTTTGTGTATTTCAAGAAACAGAAGTACAAGGCATTCCACAAACACAAATGAACTTAGTGATTAAAAAGAAAAAACAGGAATAAAAATGAAAATTACAATGAACTTTTTTTTCTCTATGGTTAAATACAAAAATCAAAGATAAATTTTACTATTTTCAATTTAACGACTGAAATTCTTACTGACTTGTCAGATTCTCTTTCTTCTGACACTTTAACCCTTCACGTCTGAAGATCTAAATGACTCCAATTAAATTTGGCAATAAAGTTCCTAATTCCCAGTGAGAAGCACAGTGAGGGAAAACAAGGCTGAATGCCCAGTACACAGTAGCCAGCTATGATTCTCTCGGGTCTTTTTTACATATACTTATAACCACAGTAAGAAAAAGTCCTGAATTTATGCAAAATGAGTGGGGACACTATCCGAACCTGTCTACACCGTAACAGTACTAAAAGTGAGCTAAGAAGAAGCTAAAATAGCTACTGATAATTAGCAACTAAAATATCCTAATAAAAACATAGTTCAAATATAATTGTTCAGGGAAACAAGAAGGAAATTCATATGGTTAATTTCTACTTATGATAGCTTTTTTTAAAAAAATTAGTGAAACACCATGAGGTACAGTTGTAGACTTACAAATTTTTGTGCTTGGGTTTCAGTTATACAATGATCGAGTACCCATCCCACCACCAGTGCCCATTCTCCATCCCACCAATTCCAGTATCCCTCCCACCCACCCCCTACCCCCCTATCCCACCCTGTCTCTGTGGCAGGGTACTCCCTTTTGTTCTTTCTCTCCTTTGAGATAGCATGCTTTTTAAACACCTAATTCGTGGGGCCAGAGAGTACAGGTGATCAGGCATTTGTTTTGCAGGTGGTCAATCATAATTCAATCTCTGCATAGCCAGGCATAGCACACTAACCACCCCCCCAAAAAATTATATATATATATGCAAATAAATGAAAACCTATTTCCTCAGAAATCCTAAAAGTTTTAAAAAATGATTCTCACACAGTTTCTCTATAGAGACACTATGGTTTTCTATACTTACAGAACAATTAATTGGTGTATCAATGGCAAATACACATACATATAACAACAAGGACAAAAAAAATCATTCTGGAATTAACTATTTCAAATGAATATTCGCAGTAATTTTGATGATAACTTATAGACTTTCTTTCACAAAATAATTGGGCCCTCATCTTTGGAATCTGTGAGCTCCTCACCTGCAAATACCATCGGTTTCGCTGATTTAAAGCCAGGCAAGGGCTCCACTGGTTGTTTATGTAAATAAAATGTATCTCCTATTTGTGCTTCAGTGACAGCTTTCATCCCAGCAATCAGATAGCCCACCTGTCCTGCATATCTAAATAAAATTATTACATGGACATATTTACTGCTTCAATGTTTCAAATGCGTACTCACAATTACCTCTACCTTTCCAGGAACTAATCACCCTTTCAAGCAAAACTCCATCTGCGTTTGGGCTACACATCCACATCAATTCTCAACTCTTTCAAGAATGGCAGCAAGAAAACATACCAGGTTTTATAATCGCTTACCAAAGACCACTGCATGACAACCAGTCTCATATTTATGATTTCATCTACCTCTGTACATTAAATAGCTTCTAAAATATAATGTAAATATAGTGAATTGGTAAGTGCAAAGAAACAAAGCACTATTGATTTCTACTACTGAATTTAGGATGATGTATAAAGAACCTTAACTGAAAATATGGCAGATTGAAGAGGCTTTTAAAATATCTGAGTAAGATAAAGATAGACTCTGACTCACAAAAATGAACCAAAGTAGGGGAACAACAAATGAAATGCAGAAATAAATAGAAATAAATAATAAATAAATAAATAATAAATAATAAATAATAAATAATAATAATAAATAATAATAATAATAAAAATAATAATAATATTAATAATATTATTAATTATTAATTATTAATTATTAATATAATATAAATAATAATATTAATAATAATAATAATAATAAATAATAAATAAATAAATAATAATAAATAAAATAATAATAAAAAATAAATAAAAAATAAAAAAATAAAAAATAAATAATAATAAAAAAATAATAAATAATAAATAATAAATAATAAATAAATAATAAATAAAAAATAAATAGAAATGCAGAAATAAAGAACATGAGAACTGATCTTCAGCAGAAAGCTCGGAAGCGGGTGGGAGAAAAGAAAACACAACAATGGTAGAGAGAAGTATTCAAGCTGGAGGAGGGGATGCTGAAAGGTGGAAAAGCGTTATGCACGGAAACCTATCAGTAACAGTACTGCAAGCCACAGTGCCGCCAGACATTTCTTAGAAAGTGCCTGGCCTAAGAGGCAGGCTGGTGGGTAGGAGGGAAAATGGGTTCACGGTAGAGGGAAGTGGACACTGGTGAAGAGACTGGCGTTGGAACACTGTAGGCCTAAGACTCGTAAATTCGTAACGCATGGTGACTGAATAAAATTTCTTTTAAATGTTATGAACAAAAAAATACTAGTTTTAGACTGCAACATGAAACTATCAAGTGAGAACTAAACAGTTATAGGGATAAATATTTTAGTTTTAGACCATAACATGAAACTAGTGATACCTAAATGACTGTAGGGCTAAACATCTTAATTTTCACAGATGAGAAACCGAAGACCTAAGAAAAGAAAGCTCCAACTTTGGGCCCAAGAATCTATCTCAACACCAGCAGAAGAACTGATGAGGTAGGTGTATGCTTTATGAATGAACTTAGAACTCAGCTTTTTTCCCCCCTTTTTTTCAGTTTTTGGCCTAACCTGGCAGTGCTCAGAGCTTACTCCTGGCTCTGCACGCAGGGTCACTCTTGGCAGTGCTCAGGGGACGATATGGGCTTCTGGAGACCGAACCTGGCTGTCCTATTGCCCCAGCCCAGAACTCAGTATTCCTAATGCACCTATCTTGATTATATCACAAGCCATGGGTTCTAGTTAATCCAAGTTTCACAATGAATTCCACAATGAAGAAAAAGATCAGCAAGTTTTGTGCACTACCATTATGTTAAAATTTGATAATAAAAACGTCAAAATTGATGGTATTCATATCAAATGTATCTGTATCCACCTGTCTACACCAGATCACAAATTAGTTATAACCAATCAAAAGCAGTAAGCATCAAATTTCTGTCTTTCAAGAGATTTCTTTTTAAAAGATTATTCATTATATATCTTTCTTTTTTTAAATTACCCCATTGGGATCATACTAAGCATAACAGATTAAGAAAGGCAGGAATAGAAATACACACAAGTGCATTTTAATTTCTAAAGACTACTTACAGCTTATCAGTTGGATGCTCATTAGGATTTAGAATTCCTACTTCATTAACTTCATATGTTTTTTGAGTATGTGCAGATACAATCTTATCTCCTTTGGAAACCACTCCATCAAATAATGCAACACTGGTTATCACTCCCCTATACTGATCAAAAATGGAGTCAAATACCAAAGCTCTTAGAGGATTTTTGCGATGTACTTTAGGCCTATATAAAAATATGGTTTAAAAAACACTCATTAACAGAAGAAACTTTATATAAAATAAGGCAGTGTGTCGCTATATTAACCTTAATAAAATATCTAAGAGAAAATAAGTAACTTTTTAAAACTTAAATACTAAACTTGACATATCAAGAAGGTAACAACCGTTAATATAATCCTCTATTAAAGTGGTTGTTAGAAAGAGATGCATATCATCCTGATTATTTTCTATCATTTTAGTTCATTTGATTTCTACATATTTTTAAAAATTAACAGAAAGCTCTTTAATCACTGACTGTAAGTATATTTGCCATAGTTACAGAAGCAAAATAATAGATCAAAATGATAGTCTTCATATTATTAAAAATAAACTAAAAAGAATAAAACTAGTAAATACTTACGAGGGTATTCTTTCAATGACTGCCTGAAGGATACTTTCAACATTTGTTCCAAGTTTAGCAGAAATCTACAAATATGTATGTAAAAAAATTTAATAATAATAATAATAATAAAGATTTAAAGCTGACTCTACTGTTCTATCCTGGTAACTTTGCTTTATAATCACACGGAAAAAGGATTTCTAACAGTTACCAATATGTCTGTTGACCAATACAAAGAGAAATACTTAAGTGTATTTTGATAAAATATCCTATAATTACAGTTATTTCATGGTTTTTAAATTAAAGAGTATCATTAGGATATTGAAAAAGCACTGAATTGTTCAAAATATTTAGCTAAGAATTGTGACAGTCCATGGTTTTAATCAATGTTATTTACCCTGAACTTCAAATTCTTCATCAGATAAATTAGAAGTGATAATACATATTTTGCCTATCTCAATCTGTTTTGTGGCTGTAACTAACAATTTAGTGGATGTCACCCAGATAACTAAAATGCCCTTCCTTTCCAAACTTTCCCAGATAAGAATACTGGGCGAGTTAACTATATATTCTATTCTCTCCCCATCATAAGCAGCTGGCAGAAGTTCAACTGTGATTATATCCAACTACATGACTTTTCTATGCCCATAATTAGAGCCACTTAACATTGCTGGTGAAAAAAATAAAAGTCAAGAAACTGATTCTTGTGAATTCAGAGTAAGGCCCTCAATGTGCAGATATGTCTGCTAATAATTCGCATTACTACTCAGATTATGCCAGACCATGTTCCTTTAAAAGCCATACATTTCCCTCTCTGATCAATTCACTCCTGAGCCCAGGCACTTAACACTTAATACTTCTTTGCTTTCTCATTTATACTTTTTTAAAAATTAATGACTTCCTCCCCTAAGTAGAATAGAAACACAATGATAAAGAGGTCTTGCCTAGTCTGTTAACTGATATATGTCTGGAAAGCACAAAATAAATAGTTCAAGTAATTTTGTAAGTAATTTATTAAAATCAGAATATTCAATTATTCTTTATATTCTTATAAATATAATGCAATCCAAATTATAAAATCATAACCCAGTACTACCTTATAAGGCTCTTGACATAAAAAGAAGAAAAAAAAACCCATTAAACTCTATGCATATACATGTAACCAGGAAGGAAACTACTTTTTATAATTTTCTTAGGGGAGTTTGGGCCATACCTGACAGGAGTTTCTTCTTGCCTTTTCTTGCTCAGGGATCACTCCTGGAAGTGCCTGGGACTATACTTGGAACAGGAATCAAACTGGGGCCACATAAAAGGCAAGCACCTTAACCGCTGCAGTACCTAGCTTTGAAACTACTGTTTTTTTTTCAGTGATTACACCAAGTTTTTTAAAACTATCGGTTGTTTAGTGCTGTACTATCATTCTCACCCTAATTACATGAGATTTTTTTAAAAGTACAACCAAGTCTTTGGAAAAAAAAAGTCACTTTACCTTAATACATTCATCACCTGGAATATCAAAAACCTTTTCAATTTGCTTTTCAACCCTCTTAGGATCAGCATTCTTTAGATCTATCTTAAAACAAAAACAAAACATGTCTTAGTATATTAAAATATAATTTTGTTTTTGAACAGTTTTTAAAAAGCTCCTATGACTTTTAAAAGTGGTATACTAGGAACACCTAGATATGCACAGTATTTTTGTCAAGCTGTTAGCTACTCAATTGTTCAACCATAAGTTATAAATACCATAAAAATTGGCTTTATAAGTTATGTTTGATATAGCTTGTAACACATAAGTCATATTACCTAAAAGCAATCTTCCTTCTCTTAAATGTAATTTAATACAATGTATCTTAAGTTAGGATTCTTAATTTAAGAACATTTTAAAGATAAAAGTTTTGTCTACTACTCATATTAGCACTTAACTATTTAGTTACTTGTCTTATATATGGCTTCCTTCAAGATCATAAATTCCTTTTCCTTCCCTAAGTAATACATTCCTTTTCTACAAAGCTCTTCATCATTTAATTTAGAAAACTATTTTTTTAACTAAATGAAAGAGTGAAGGAGTCTGAATTTCAATTCTACCATATGAAATTCTAAAGCATAAATCCCACCAGTGAAATAGTTGAAGATCCTGCATATCAGGGGAAAAAATACTACTGATATCATGAGATACAATAACTAGTATATTTCTGGCACAAAACACTCAATGCACTTGGGATTTCTTCTTACTATAGTAATGACTTTAAGCACTTTCTGGAAAGCACCTACAGATGGGGGTAAGCTATCAGCAGACCCAACTGTAAGAACAGAGGCTGGAAAAGTCAGAGAGTTAAGTGAAGCTAGAGATGAAGTTCAATGGCTATGGGCTAATGCATTCATCAACTGCATCTATACAACTGAACTTCCATGAAACCTCCAATGAAAGGGGTTCGGAAAGCTTTCAAGTTGGTGAACATATGTGGATTTGGAGAGGATATGTATCTGATGAGGGCAGGGAATATTCCCTTGCCCTATGTATCTCTTCCATGTGGCCATTCCTCTATACAATATATAGGTAATCTAGTAAGCAAAATGTTTCTAAATTTTTTTTAGTTGGTCTAGCAAATTAAGGAGGTTGTGAGGAATCTGATTAGAAGTATAGGTAGACATCCCAGACTTGCAACTGTGTCTAAAGTCCACGGAGAAATTACTGAGAAAGGCCAATCCACAAAGAGTTATTAGAATATCAGAAGCCCAAGTCACATCCTAGGCTTGAGACTGGCATCTGAAGTGAAGGAGTGCCATCTTCAAAGGGTAGTCTTGTGGGAATCTATAGAATCTGGGACTCTCTTCAGGTAGTATTAGGACTGAGCTGAATTCCTGATATCAAGCACTATTTGATATCAATCACTCTCCCCCTCCTGCTGTCCACACACTGGATAGTGAGTGTCAAGAACCTATTTACTTTGATATTCAAACAGAAAATATACTTTTGTAAGTATAAAAATAAGTAGCATTACTTCCTCGTTCTAATTACCTTATTTATAACTGGAATTATTGATAGTTGTGCTTCAAAGGCAAGAAAGAAGTTTGCTACAGTTTGGGCTTGAATACCCTGGAAAAATCAAGATACAGGACATTGAGATCATCCTACTATCTAGCACAAAACTTCTAAATCATGACCGGTCTGCATCTCTTCATCAAAAGCAAAGGTGTAACACAAAGTATGGTGTCTACACTTCCATGCACCTGGGAGTTCTGTTTGATGTATATATGACACTGTATTTTAATTAAGTACACTGATTTCTTAACTAACTCCTATAATCAATTTTTAAAATTTGGAGAGGGGACTGTCACACTTTGTGTGACAGGGACTACTACAAGTATGATACTTGGGTCAATGCAGACAGTGCTTGGAAGACAATGCAGTCCTGGAGATCAACCCCTGTCTGGCTCAAGCTATGCCTGTGATCAGCTCATTGAGCTAATCTCTCTAGCCCTCAGCTCAAATGTTTTAAAAAACAAATTGCTCAATCTCACAGAAGGTTTTAGTATAATAAAACCTCAAGTTACCAAAGCACATGATTTCAGTTAAGTAATATAACTAATCATTTTTTAAAAAGCAAATAGTTTATTTCCAACACATTTTGTATTACTGTTTTGGATTAGGGGCCACATCTGGCTGTGCTCAGGGCTTACTTTAGGTTCTGTGCCTAAGGGTCATTCCTAGCAGTGAGGGGGTCAAACTGTGGTCACCCATGTGCACGCAAGCACCTTAACCCCTCTAGCAAAAACACTTTTTAAGGAAAACTTTGAGATAAAGAGCCATGTCGCATCACAGAAAATGAAATTTACCTACCTCATTTGCATCAACCACAAGTAAAACCCCTTGGCAAGCAGAAAGTGATCTGGACACTTCATAACTAAAATCAACATGGCCCTGAGAAACAAAAAAATATTGATACCTCTAAATGTGAGGGTCAATTACTTAATTACTTATAACAAATTTACTACCCAAATTTAAGTGGCTTTCCATTTTTAGAATGTGACAATATTTACACTACCAGAATGGAAGCAAACAAAAATCGGTAGCACTTTTTACATTCAATTCAGAAACTAAAGAATTTGTTTATGTTTAGTACAATGGTTAATTTAGCAGAAGAGACAAAATGAATGTTCCACTTACTGGTGTATCTATAAGATTTAAAAGATACTGCTTTCCTTTCCAGTTATAGAAGAGTGAGGCTGTCTGTGCTTTAACAGTGATTCCTCTTTCTCGTTCCACTTGCAATTTATCAAGAACTTGCTTATTAATTTTTGTTTTATCAATTGTCCCTATAAATACAAATGCTAATTGACATTTCAATAGGTTTTTAAGAGACGAAAAACACGTACAAAATCAAAACCACATACAAATCACATACAACCACATACAAATCAAAAACACATACAAAATCAAAACCACACTTTTAAGGCATGTTAAAAAAAATAATCCTTTTCTCGTGGCCATTAATGAAGAATACAGTATACAATAAAAATACCCGTTAGTTCCAGGAGTCTGTCAGCCAGAGTGCTTTTGCCATGATCCACATGTGCAATGATGCTGAAGTTTCTAATATTTTCAACAGCAAATCTAGACATATCAACTTTTTCCTAGAAAAGAAAAAGATTACATTTATGAATACAAATTTCTCATGAGTATTCCAGATAAAAGGATATGACTTTAGTCTTTCTTAAACAATTATTCCTTTTATTATGTAACTTGTTATCCCTCTTGACAATGGAGGTATGGCTGGTCATGTAACAGATACTGTATTACAACAGAACTAACAAATACATCATTTTCATTCACAAAGATGATTATGTCTAAAGTCCTTTATAATATTTCCATCACTTAAGACCAAAGGGGTACTGAGTTTCTTAAGAACACAAGGCACTCATAACTCTAAACCACCTAAGAGTGCTTGGTAAATGGTCCAGTAAGACTTCTTGAAGCACAAAAGCAACAGAAATACTGGGGGTGAAATTCCCACCATTACTATATAATCACCAGAACCAGTTCCATAATATGCAGTAGTAGTAGTCTTCAAAAGATTAACTCAGATACAATTGTGTTTGTTTGGCAATTTCTTTAGAGGAAACACAAGACCACAGAAGCAAAAGAAAGGACTTTACTTATGACTTAAAATTCATTAGGAATTTAGAATGAAACACCTCAATTTTAATGGTTACATCTTAATGCTTAATGTTTTGCTGGAACTCCACAAACTGCTAAGAAGTGTTATTCATGTAAAATTCTATTTGCACTCTAAACATACTATTTTTTTTACAATCAGCAGGATACACGTGATTAGAAATACAGAACTCAAATGAGCCTTAAGGTTTTTTGTTTTTTAATGTTTCCCAATGCAAGACAAACAACAGCGTTACAACTATACTTTAAACAAATTCTGCAAAATACGGGCTGGGAAAATAGTATGAGCAGCATCGAATTCTCAGGCTCTACTAGAATTAGGCCCAGTTGACAAAAAAGCTGGAGTGCTCCTCCAACCTCACCCCAGGACCACCTAAGCACTGCTTGGGAGGCTTGTCCTCCTGCCCCCCTCAAAAGTCCATAAAGTAACTGGACTGAATTTGTCCGCCCTCTGGCCTATTTCTCCCCACTATTGCATCCAAAAGACTTTTTTAGGAGCTTGTACTGTAACAATAGTTCATTTTAACGTCCACGGGTGTTTTAGAAAAGGGCAAAAACGTTTAGTCATTTCTCCTATTATAAATTGCAATGAGTTTACTTTCCTGCTAACATTTTTTTGTCACCTCAGCTACCGTGCTGTTAGTTTTCAGAATTGCTGAGCAGGTCGCTTTCTGCAACCATAATACAACTACTACGACACGTGTGTTTGGAACATGGAGCAGTGAAATAAAACGCAGAACGCTCCACACTTCTTCTGTGCTAGGTATACTAAAGTGCAAAATACTGTGCCTTATATTGTACAATCCATAAAACAACAAGCCAAAGGGCATTTGGGTCCCTCAATTCACCAAGGAAGAAACTTGAGTTCGCACAGTGCAGGGAAACAGCGCTGATACAAGCAGCTGCCTCGGTATACTCGCCTCGCCTCAACAACTCCATTTTGGACACCATCCTTTAGGAAAAATCACAGTGAGTCATTCAAGGTCACCCGAGGGGTGCGGTTGGGGGGGGGGGGGAGTGGTGGAGAGCAGGGACAGATTGCCAAAGCCCCGCGGAGCCCCAGCTCTGGGCTCTCGTCTCCTTCCTGAAGCTTGCACTCCAGGGGAGTGGGGTTCGCAGTTCCAAAAGCCCACCCTGCGCCTCCCCAGGGTACCAGCACGACCAGAGACTCAAGGACAGTCACCTTGCGCTCCGCAGAGCTGTACGGCCGGCTCGGAGTCAGGGACAGCGCGCGCGGGAGCCCGCGCAGCCCGCGCAGCCCGGGAATCGCGGCCACGGCGGCCCGCGGAGCGAGCGCGCGCCCGCGCCACCAGCCCCGACCCGTGACGATCCACATGCCCCCGGCGCGTCAGGGGACAGTCCCGAGCCGCGACCATGCCATGACCCGCGGCTCGCTTTGCTCCCGGGACTGGCTCCGCTAAGACCCCCACGGACTCGACTCAGCGCGGTCTTTGCCTAGCTCGCCCCGGCACCCTAGTGACGCAACGACGTGCATGACGTCCGTCCGACGTCGTGACGTCACGGCGGCAGCGTGCTTAGGCGTCTGGATGCGGAGACGTCACGTGACGGGCAGCGCTTACTCCTTTGTACGGGCGCTGTGTTTGGTAGGAAGCTTTGTTTCGGTTTGCAAGGCCCTGTTCTTCCTTTGCAGATCAGTTCCTCTTTTCGCTTTCCCCAGGCGTCTTAGGGAAAGCCAACCATTAATCACTCAACCGTTAAACACGCAGGTCTCAGAGCAGTAGAGCAGGTAGTTCAGCACAAGGAGAACTTTATTTTTTTTTTTTAATAATGTAGGAGTACTGCTATTTATTCAGCCATTGATTAAGCTGATTGAATTGAGCATGAATCCACGTTACTTTTTTTTAATTTATTTTTTTAATTGGAATTCGTGAGGTAGATCATTACAAAGCTGTTCATAGTTGGGTTTCAGTCATACAATGATCCAGCACCCATTCCTCCACCAGTGTACATTTCCCATCACCAATGTCCCCACCACCATTCCCCAATCCCCCACTCCCTACCCCCAGGCTCTCTTTATGAGAGGCACTTTTCTTCTTGCTCTCTCTCTCTCTCTCAAGGAGAACTTCTTGATCTTAATGTACTCACTCAACTTAAGAGAGAACTAAAGTGAGGACCTCAGTTTTAAAATGGCATGAAATGTATCAATCTTACAGGCACAATTTGGGAGTTTACACATTATTTGCCCTTTGGTAGCCTAAAGGGCAAGAAAATATTGCAACTGTTTATATCTGGAAATTGAAATATATATCATTTAAAAATCTACTACATGGTCAACAATAAGCTAAGCTTGAAACATTTGAAAGAACACAGGCTTTCAAACTGAAGTTAATAACGGTTTGCAGGGGGAAACTTGAATCTCAAGTGAAAGTGGTGGGGGAAATGTTACACCCAGAGCATCCTTCCTGTCCTTATCTCAAACCAGAATTTCAACACCTTGCATAGAGTGGTTAAGTACTGAGATGAAATAATGAGATCTGCTTAATACATGGTCCAGAATCAGTCTGTCTTTGATCTCCCTTAGGCTTTTCAGGAAATTTGATGAAGGAGGAATAGCTTGTTGAGTCCCCTTATTTCTGAATTCTGGGGTCTGTTGTAAATGAAAAGAGTATTTGATTCATCACCTATTGCTACTTTCACCTTTGTTAGACAATGGACTTGTCAGATAACTCAAGCAAATCTAAATCTGAACTTAAGAGAGATCAGTCAATTTAAGCAGTCTGGAATTTGCACCCTTAATTCTAAGAAACATGGCTAAGCAAGGTTAAATAAGGAAAGGTGTATTGTGCATTGACTGAATAATAGAGGAAGTGGTATGGATTAAAGACAGTGGCATTTTACTTGAAGAGTAAACTTTCCACCAACCAAGAATTTCTTAATCTCACATAAAAATGAAAACATCAGACCCATTTTTATAGAAATAAATGTTATAAATTCATCTTGTATAATACATACAATTCACAA